GTAGAGCCTACCACAGCCAAGTGGCCCAAGTTCAAATCCTAACTCAACATTTATCAGCTGTGTGTCCATGGACAAGTGACTCCAGAGTCAGGGCTCAACATGGGTTTGCCCTTATTATTCTTCCTGCCTTTCCTTGCAATGCCTGTGGCTGGGGAAGGGGGGCTGAGGATCATGTTGGGCAGCAGAATGGGGTGTGGAATGGAGCAGCTGGTGGGGAATGAGCAACAGCTCCTCTGAGCTTCCTCCTGCAGGCTTAGCTACCTGGTTCCCATGCCATCCACACTGCTCCCCAGCTGAGTTAATCTGGGGATTTTACTTAGCATCCCTGTGCCTCTGCAAAAGGAGGCCAATAATAGCAGTACCTAGTACAAAGGGTTGTGTTGAGAATTCAGTAAGTCATTACAGGTGAAACACTTAGCTTGCTCCTGGAGCTCAGTCAGCACTCAATAACTGTTAGCCGGTATCACTGTTATCATTACGGCTAAGTGGTCTTCACACATCGTGTGTATCAGAATCGTCCAGACACTTGTTCCCAGGATGCCCCTCCAGAGACTGACTCAATTCAGAGGTGACCTAAGAATCTGCATTTTTACAAGCCCATCTCTCCCTCCAAAATTCGGTGATGCTCCCCTAGAAATTCCAGCTTTTCCATTTTCCCTTTGCCCTCTCCAGGCTACCCTCAGAACACAGGAGAGGTCAGCTTTTCCTTTGTCAAACTCAAAGTGCCATTCAGAAATGGTCCCCACTCTCTCCTCCCCTGCCATTTTAAGGAAATTCACCTTTGGGTTAAAGTTCCAGCCCCTAGTCCTCTATATCTATTAAGCATATGTATGTTGTATGTTAAACATATATATGTATATGTGTGTACATATATTATATAAACATATATCTATATTTGTATATAGATATAAATATATCTATATTTTTATATCTATATATAAATATGTGTACACACATATACATATATAAATATATCTATAAAGAATGGAATGAATGAATGACTAGATGAATAATGAATTCCATTTCTTAGAAGAGTAATTCTCAAAGTATGGACTGAACCCCCTACTTCATCTCCCTAGGATGTTCACCCTGAAGGCAGCTCCCAGCACCTCCCCCCACCCCCTACTGAATCAGATTCAGGAATCTGCATTTAATGCCTCTGCTTCCTCTGCTGTCCCCTGGAGTTTGGGCACCTCTGCTTTTGCTAGGGGCCTGGAGTTTTCTTAGAGCTCCAAAGAAGGGAAGTGGCCACCCCAATTGGCCATTGGAGAACGCAGGTGTGCCTAAGCCTGCTTGGCCCAGAGTTCTGTCAGGGGAGGTTCCTGCAACCTTGTCCAATTGGACAGTCCCTTCCTGCAGCCTGGGACATGAGCCAGGGCCTCTCCCGGGGAACATGGGTACAGACTTCTCACCCCATAGATCCAGCCACTACTGTCTTCCTTTCTTCCTCCAACCTGCCAAGCCCTTTCCCACCTGAGGGCTTTGCCCTCATGCTTCCCTCTGCCTGGCTCCCCTTCCACAAGTTTATACTCAAGCCTGGCTCCATCTCCTCCTCTCCTCCTCTGCTCAAATGTCACTTGAGACCCTCCTTGACCCTGGTCTTATGTGGCCTCCTTGCTATTTCCAATCTCACACTACGCTTTTTTCTTCTTAATATAATTTGTAGTTATTTGGTTTCTTGTTTATTTCACCTTGTTCTGATTCCCTCGTCAGATGGTAAGCTGCTGGGGAGTAGGGTGACTGTTACTCCCTACAGTCAAGCACAGTGCCTAGCACGCAGTCGGTCCACAAGAAATAATGGTTGGGTGGATGGACAAATGAATTTTTTCAAAGTCAAACTCCTTGAAGCCAATTTCCCAGGAAAGCGAGGATTTTAGCACTGAACGCATGGGCATGCCTTAAGAGGTCCTTGGCAATCCTGGTACCGTGTGCAACATTTTTTAGCCAAGTGCATTTTTTTTTTCTAAAAGACAAACCAAAACTTCCAATGCATTTTCAAAATGTCCCCCAAGAAGGTAAAAACTTGTTTTAAGGAAATCTATTTGGACTAGTGAAGGAGGCTGCTAACGTGTGAGGCTCTGTGGTGTCCCACAGCGCCAGTGTCTAAGGAAAAGTATCTGAGGCAGTTCTGGGGAAGGCAAGAGAGCCTGCTGGGATGCCAGCTCAGCCTCTTCCTGGCTGGGAGCTTGGGCAGCCACTGGGTTTCTCTGGGTCCCCGTCTCCTCACCTGGGTGGCGTGAGAATGGAATGAGACCACAGAACAGGCTTAGCACAGGGAACGGGTCCCAACGAGAAACACCAGCCCCGCCAACCTCCAGGTAGTTGCTTATGAAGGAGTGGTTCTCACTGCACCATCGTCCTCCCTGAGAGCACCAGGGTGGGGTGCCCAGCCAACTTGGGCCTTTTCCCTTGAATGTCAGCTCAAACTCCACCTCCTCAGGAAGCTCTTTTCTCTGACATCCCTTTTCCTCCATTGGCCAGGGGGCCTCACTGCGCCCTCCCACAGTACCTCCCACCTCCTTCACCACTGGGCCTTACTTCATAATCCTATGCTCAATTGCAGGAATGGTTGAAGACTGTCTCCCCACCAGTATGTGAGCTCCAGGAGGACAAGGACCCTGCCTGACCGCTCTCTGTGGGATCCCCAGAGCCCACAGCCCCTGGCACTCAGCCACGCTCAAGCTCACTCCAGGACCATCACAGCCCCACTGCCGTCTCAGCCTCCCTGTCATTCCTGCCTGTCTTCTGATGCATTTCATTTATGAAAATACTCGATAGAGGTGGCTCCTGCATTCACTGCACAGGTGTCCCAGGAACGGTCTCGGGGGCTCTCATGCTCCATGTCACTGACACCATCAGCTTCCCTGGTTCACAGGTGAGGAAGGCTCATAGGGGTAAGGACAAGGAGGAGGATCATGATAATAAGATGGTTTTGAGCTCTGACCTAAGCACAATTTGCTTTAATCCTCACTACAGCTCTGAGGTCTACACCGTGATTCTTTTACAGACCTGGGAGCTGAGTTTGCCAAGAGGCAGAGTCAGGAATCGAACCCTTGTCTTCATGACCCTGACGCACATGCTCTGGGCCAGCACGTGACCCTGCGCCAAGTTGGCTCCAAATCCAGTCCCCAGCCCCTGAGCAGGGCCCACTCATCCCTCCAAATCTATTCTCTCTTGTCATGCATCAAGCTCTGAAAATCCACACCTTCCATGTTGTCCTTTCTTTAGGCTCCGCTGCCCTGAGACTCACAGCATGTGATGAGGCAGGGCCGACAGCCCCCACCCCCTGTTAAGATGTCCAAAGAGCCAAGGACAACAGATTTGTTCCCCCCGACAATGCCTACCCTTCTCTGTTTTCTTGACAAAAAAATACCAAAATTCCAATCGCTTACATAAGACCAGGAAGGATAGAAAGATACATTTCTAAGTAAGTGATATTCTACAAACATCTCCAAAGGGAGCATGAACTGGGAGAAAGGACCTCAAATGGGGAAGGCCAACACCCTGAACCAAGGCTTTCTCAGTACGATCTCTTACAAAACCAGACCGAATTGCCCAAGATTGACCCCAAGGCTTCTGTGAAATTTGAAAAGGACGTGCCCATCCCTCATTCGCGTGGGACCCTCCACGTCCCCTGCAGCATGGGGAAACGGCACAGGGACAGTGACAAATGCCTTTGTCTCAGAGCTCACTGCAATGGAATGATGGGACCCAGACCCCCAAGACCTGTGCCGCTGCAGTGGAGTGGGCAAGAGAGTGGGGCAGGGAGTGCGGTCTAAGAGGCTGCAGGAACCCCCTGGGCCTGGGAGGCATTGCATGGAATGTGGCTTTTGCTCTGTGTGCGGTAGGAAAGTCTGAAGGGTTTTAAGCAGAGGAGTGGCATGGTCTACCTTACATCTTAAAATGACTGTTCAGGCTGCTATGTGGAAGAGACTGCAGGTGGGCATGGTTAAAAGCTGGGAAACCAGGCTGGGCTCGCACCTGTAATCCCAGCACTTTGGGAGGCCGAGGTGGGCAGATCACAAGGTCAGGAGTTCGAGACCAGCCTGGTCAATATGGTGAAACCCCGTCTCTGCTGAAAACACAAAAATTAGCTGGGTGTGGTGGTACACGCCTGTAGTCCCAGCTACTTGGGGGGCCGAGGCAGAAGATTTGCCTAAACCCGGGAGGCAGATATTTCAGTAAGCCGAGATTGTGCTATTGCACTCCAGTGTGGGTGACAGAGCGAGACTCTGTCTCAAAAAAAAAAAAAAAAAAAAGCAGGGAAAGCAGTCGGGACACACTAGCAGTAATTTGACCAAGCTGATGGTGGCTGGGGAGTGGTTGTTCGACATGATCGTGTTCTGTCAATGTCAGCAGGACCTCCTGACAGGTGGGTTATGGGAGATGGGAAACGTGGAAGCAAGGGCAACTCCGTGGGCTGGGACTGGAACAACTGGATGGACTTGGCACCATTTCCTGAGATGGTGAGGACAGGAGACTTAAACTGAATTCTCTCTAAATCCCAGCCCCAGCTCCAAGGTCAACCTGATGCCTTGACTTCAAGACCGTTTCTCCCTTGTAAATCTTATCCAGAAAGGTAAGATCCATCCACCCAGTCATTCATTTATTTGTACCATTAACAAATGTTCACTAGCACTTACCATGTGGCAAACATGGGAGGCACCACAGACATGAGGGAGACGATTCAGAGATCAGCCATCTCCACTCACCAATCCAGTCATTTAGTCATTCAACAACATTCATTAGCGCTCAATTTCTGGCAAGCAAGTATCGTGATTAAAGTGGTTGGTCTTGCCCTTAAGAAACTCCTAGTCCAATTGGAGAGCGTGGGGTTAGCCATCCTCATTCATGTGTCATTGGTTCACTAAAAAGTCACCAACATCCAGCCTGTGCCAGGGTCTGGGAGAGCACTCCTTTTGGATGACCTAACAGTAGACTCTGGTGAGCGTCTCCAAGCAACAAGGCCTCTCCCTCTGGAGCCCTGGTCTCCCCACAGAGTTCCACCTGCTGCTCTCCCAATATGAGCAGGCCCTGGTGCCAGCTGCCAGGGTCCAGGGCACCACCTCCCTGCAGCATGCTGGGGGCTGACTCTGATATCGTCTTCCAACAGAAAACCATGAGCCCATCCTTCCAGACTGCCACCCTCAAAGCCATCTACACAGGCCCCATCTGACACTCTTGACATCTGCAGGTCCCAGACCCTACGATGCGTCCCCTCTGGAGGCTCCTCATCCTTCTCGGGTTGCTGGCCTTGCCCTTGGCCCTGAACAAGCAGCCTTGGTCTGGCCTGGCCCAGGCCCACACAGACAGCAAATCCACCCTGGCAAGAAGTAAGCTAAGCCCCGGGCTCTGCCTGCTGCCCACGGGGTTGGGGAGGTGGGAAGGTGTCATCTGGGGTCACCACTAACCTGCTGGGTGACTTCAGGTTAGTCAGTTACCCTCTCCTTTTTTTCTCAGACTTGAAGTACAGAAAATTGAGGTTGTGTTGATTATATACCAAGTTAGAGCACACCATCATTGGCACAAATAACTGCAAAGTCCCAATTTGTTTTATTTTCTTATTTTCCCCCCTTTATCCCTTTTTCTCACTACCGAATCCTTACTGCCTTGGCAGGCACTGCAGTGTGTTTAACGGGTGTATTTAAATATGCCTGTGTCCTTGTGTGTACAGCATTTTAATTTACATAAATTATATTGCCATATATATCCCATTCTGTTTTGTTTTAATGGTTTCACTCAACACTATGCTGTTGACATCTCTGTTGCTTCAGCTGGTGCAGAAAGAGACATAAGATTCATCCACCTCAGTAAATTTGGCTGTTCTCCTCTGGATGGACATACAGTTTGCCTCTAACTCTCCGTGATTATAAACTACTATAATTTTGTTAACCATTTTGGCTTCTTCTTTTTTTTTTTTTTTTTTTGAGACAGAATCTTGCTCGGTCGCCCAGACTGCAGTACAGTGGCACCATCTTGGCTCACTGCAACGTCTGCCTCCCAGGTTCGAGATTCTCCTGACTCAGCCTCCTGAGTAGTTGAGATTACAGGTGCATGTCACCATGCCCGGCTAATTTTTGCATTTTTAGTGGAGATGGGGTTTCATCTCGTTGGCCAGGTGGTCTCAAACCCCTGACCTCAAGTGATCTACCCACCTTGGCCTCCCAAAGTGCTGGGATTAAAGGTGTAAGCCACTGTGCCTGGCCCCGTTTTGACTTATTTGAATTCCCTATCCTTACCTTTTGTCCATTTTTTAAATTAGCTTTTCTGTTTTTTAATTCTCTTTGATTTGAAGAGACATTACTTAATTCTTGACATTAGCCCTTTGTCAGATTTATGCGTTGTGGAATAGAAACCTTGTGAGATGTGGAGCAACAGGCAAAGTATGCCCATAGCCACGGCTACTCTGTGCTCACATGCCTGGACACCCAGAGAAGACCGAAAGGCGACATGCTTTGTCCCAAACACAGCTAGTGAATCCTAAGACTAGAATTCATCCATACATTGGGCCACAAATATTTACTAAACACGCACTCCGTGCCAGCTGCGTGCTGGGGCTGGGATTCATGGGTCGCCATACTGCGTGGCACTTACCCCCTCGTGGAACTGCTGGTTGGGCTGAATTGAAGGTGAGCTCAGATGTGTTTGGTGCCCACGTTTTTGCTTTTCCACTCCCTCACCCTTTCTCTATACCTCCTCGGAGCCCAGCAATATTCTTGACACATGTTAGGTGCTCAGTAAATGTGGAATGGATAAATGAGAGAATGAGAAATCTCAACAGGCCCCTCCCTCCATCGAGAGCAAAGCCGTAGATGGGCTTCTGGCTGCAAAATAGAGGCCAAGAGTGTTTTGTTCTTTTTCCCTGATATTTCTGGGCTGACGAGCAACTGTAGGGATATTTGGTCTCAGGAGAATACTTCATCAGGTCTGACTTCTAGACCTAGGACTCAAGGCCCAGGCAGGAGGGACCTCTGCACCCTTCAGAGCTAGAGTTTATTGTGGGAAAGAATGGGATGTTCACAGGGCCTGGGATAAAGGCTTTAGGGTAGCAGAAGCCCCACTCTAAAGGAGACTTGAGGTCCCAAGATGTGGACTCTCCTGACCAGCAGTATTCAGCTGGGGGACTCTCCAGCCTGGCATGCGGAGGGTTGGCTGGATTCATGGTGGGCTGGTTCATGAGCAGCCTCCTGTTCTGTAAAGAGAAGAGGTAGCATCTGTCACCAGCGTGCCCACCTCCCAACTCCTGCACTGAAGGCAAGCCCTTATCCATCCATCCATGGTGACCAAGGGCAGGTGCCAGAGCATTCATGTGAAAGCCCTCCCCAAATGATGCTGAATTTATTTGCTTCTCGGTGTCTTCACTTCACTAGTCTATGAACTCTATATGGGCAGGGACTGTAACTGTTTATCTGTAACTGGAGTAGAGGTGGTCTCGGGTTTGTGGTGGGGCCAGTGCTCCCTACTGGATTGGGTGGAGATCTTGGGAGAAGCTAGAATCTCTGATAACCTGAAGACTTCGGTGACTCCACAGGGCACAGCCTGCTTGGTAAGGGTGGCTTCTGCTGTCTTAGCTCTCTTGGGGAACAGTGTGGCCATCATATGGTCACCTCTAAGGTGTTCTCACAGCATATGCAGACACGCCCCTTAGTAGGCCTCCCTGGGGGCTCCAGGGCCGGGGGTACCTCTTTCAGCCGCTTGCCAGTCCTAAGGAGTTCTCACTGGATGCACCAGACACCCATCCATGAGGCTTTTCAACAGTTTCACATCCAGCTGCTCGAGGATTTCCCAGATCCCAGGCGGGAGGGTCTAGAGATGAAACAGGCAGGACTTAAGCATCTCCATAGTTTTAAAAACTCCCTTCCTTTGGTAGATTTATTCTTTTCTGATGGAAGCTCCACTGGTCCTGCAGTTTATTCTAGACATGTTGTGGAGCAATTTACATCTATTCTCTCCATAGTTACCCACCTATGTTTCTCTTCAACCAACATTGACTGCGGTCTACATCCCATATGTTAGCTCTGTGCTCCGGACTGAGATACAGTGTTGGGTGGACTTTCAGCCAGAATACCCCCCTTTGAGCGGCTGTTGCCTGCCAGACCCTCTGCAGGTGTTTTTCTTTATTTCTCACATCAATCTTGCAAAGCATAATTTCAAAGTGATGAAGGTGGATCTCCATGGGGAGGTGACGACATGCACTACTCACTAAGCAATCAGAGCTTGCACCAGCCCGCAACCCAGGTCTCCGAATCCCAAGCCCCCGACCTTTTCCATGACATTGTGCAAAGTCAGTGGTCCCCGTGCATTTCCAGTTATTGCCCAGGGCCTCTTGAAGCACAACGCAGAGAGCCGAATCCAGAACATCCACCTTGGGGGCAGCCTGAATGCCTCGGCACAAGTAGCCCCAGGGATGGTGGGCTGGCTAATCAGCGGCACGAAACTTCAGCAGCAGCAGGAGAGCAGGTGAGACCCCGAGTTCCATTCCTGGCCCTGGGACTCATTATAGAGATCTAGGTTGAAGGGCAGAGCTGACGCGGGGTGGGGAGGTGCAAGGTCTGTGAAAAGGGAAGGTAGGAAGATTAAAAGAGAAGGAAGAAGGCCCATATGAGAGAGAGTGGGGACCCAGTTGTACAAATCAAAACTGTGTGGCACTGTCAGAGCCACCGTGGGGCAGCTCGCAGGGTTTCTGCCCCTGGCTCTTGCCTTCAGAGCATCTGTAAAAGAATCACATTCCAAATCCCATTGCCAGGCCCTCTTTACAGACAGGCCAGCCTGGTTTCCCAGCAGGAAGCCTGACCTGTTCTGAGGTCCCTCACCCTTGCGGGGCCTCTGCACTTTCTTTGTGCAGCATCAACATCACCAACGTTCGGCTGGACTATGATGGGATCCAGATGGCTTTCCATAAGGAGTGGTTCTCGGCAAACATCTCACTTGAACTTGACCTTGAATTGAGACTGTGAGTCATACAGAAGCAGCATCTGAGAGGTGCTGGCCCTCCTGGCAGGAAACCTGGGAGCCGGGGGGAAATTTGGCAGCTTGGGAAATCTAGATCTTTCTGATCCCAACCTAAATTCAAATCCTGGCTTCCAAAGCCACCTGCTGTGTGACCTTGGGTAAGTCACTTCGCCTCTCTGAGCCTTGGTTTCTTCACCTGAAATATGGATGACAATCATTTGTCAATGGAGTGAAGTCATTTGCTCATTCAAATCTCTGATAGTTCACTACACTGGGCTCTATTAAGGAAAGAAAGGGAGAGCTGCTATCACCATCTCATCGCCCCTGCTCACTATCCTCCTCTTCAAACTGTCCTTTGACACCCACTGCCCCCAAGAAAGGGCGGATGCAGCTAAGCGGGAAAGATTTTTAAAGCGGAGATTCGTGTTTAAATTTCCAGAGGCCTATTTAAGGGATTTTCAAAGTCACTCTGGCTACAGCCGTTTTCTCTTTCATCACTGACCAGGATTTAACTGTGCCTAGTTTGTTGAAAGGACTCAGGGTGCCAGGGAAAGCCCTGACAGTGGACAATGCCCGTCTTTGCCAACATGGAGATTTCGACTTTTTCTCTACCTTCTCCCCTTGCCCTTCCTCCTCCCTCTTTTTCATCTTCAGGCCCTTTGATAACAACATCATAAAGGTGTGTGCACACATGAGCATCATTGTGGAGTCCTGGCTGGAGAAAGACGAGTTTGGCCGGAGGGATCTCGTGATAGGCAAATGCCATGCAGAGCCCAGCAGTGTCCGAGTGACCGTCCTCACCGAGTAAGGCCCTGGCTGCCCTCCCCAGAGCCAGGCCTCCTTCCTGAGCAGCCCTGGCTGGTGTGTCACTTCCCCACCATCTCCTAGATGAGCCCAAAACAGACTCATCCTTTCCCCAGGACCTGCTCTTCCTACTCTGTCCCCATTTGTGACAGCCCTGCCACCCTCCCAGAAGTCAGATTCTTCTTCCTCCTCACTCCTCAGGCCCACCATCACCAGTTCCCATCAATGACTGCCCAGCAGCCCTCAGCTTCTCTCTTTCATCTCCATCCCTACAGCCACCACTCCTGCTCCTACTCCACTACCCGGAGCACTGCAGGAGCCTCCTCTGGGCTTTTTCTGGCTCAGATCTCCCTTCCTGCACTCCGATCTCCACCCTGCAGCAGAAATAACCCTGCAGCAGAAATAAACAAATTTCTAACACAGAAATCTGGCCATGCCCAAGCCCCTGCTCCAAAGCCTCCCAGTGCCCTCTGGATAAAGAGCAACTCCCAAATTTCACTCAAGGCCCTGCTTGTCCTCTCCCCTGCCCACTCTGCAGCCCTTTGCCCTCCACCACACACCATACATGTTCACACCACCATGCCTTTGCACACGCTGATCCTCTTGCCTGGAATGCCCTTCCCATCTTCTCTGAAGCCCCTCCTTATCCCTCATTCATTCATATATTTCCCAAAAACCTGCTGTAGCCCGGCACCATGCCTGATGCTAGCGATACAATGGTGAACAAGACACAATATGCAGCTTTAATAAAGCTCCATAGACTAGCTGACCGAGTCCTTCAATTTCAACTGACTGTAATTTCCTTGAAGCCAAGATTTGTGCCTGATTCATCTCTGTAATTCCAGAATGCCGGGAGCAATGAAGACCTCAGTGGATGTCTATTCATTTGTTCACCAGATATTCATTGAGTACCTAGATCGTACCAGATGCCCATGGGGGAAAAGTGTAGGGGAAAGACTGGAACCTGGTGCTCTATTGCCATGGTTCTAGTATAACCAGCACTTCTTAGCTGTGTGACCTTGGGCAAGGTCCAAGCTGCCCCTTTGCGTATCACTGACAATGATACTTCTGGCGTAGGGCTGAGTGATGATTAAAAGACTGTGGAAGGCGTGCTGAACATATCCTCCCTGGCCTTCGCATTGCCTGCCTTGCTCTGTTCTGTTCTGTACGTCTACCTTTCTTTCTAGGGCTATCCCACCAAAGATGAAACATTTTCTCCACAACTTCACAGAGAACCTGGAAAAAGTTCTCCCATGCCTGGTAGAGAGTCAGGTAAGTTAAGGAAAAACGTGGCATCTTGAGCATCCTTGAGTCTGAGAGTCAGGGCCTATCCACTGGCAATTTAGAGAAGGATTTTCAATGTTGGGTTTAAGAGTTCGAAAAACCTCAATCTGAAGTTTCAGTTTGGCTGGCTGGCCATGTGCAGAAAGCAGAAACTGGACCCCTTCCTGACACCTTACCTTAAAATTAACTCCAAATGGATTAAAGACTTAAGCATAAGACCTAACACCATAAAAACCCTAGAAGACAACATTCAGGACACAGGCATAGGCAAGGACTTCATGACTGAAACACCAAAAGCATTGGCAACAAAAGCCAAAATAGACAAATGGGATCTAATTAACTCCAGAGCTTCTGCACAAGAAACAATCATTCGAGTGAAAAAATAAATAAATAAATGAAGTTTCAGTTTGGCCATGAGTTTTACCAGCCTATCCTTGAGCATGAGACTTCACCTCCCTGAGAAAATGTTTCTACCTTTAGCATGGGAACCACCACAGTCCTTATCTTACACGGTGAGGATTTGGGGGGCAGAACATGGAAGTGTTGTGCATGACGTTGAGCAGGTAGTCGGCACTCACTACAAGGGGGTCGCTCTGGCCACGTTCCCTATTGGAAAAATCCCGTGGAGTTGAAGCTTCCAGCCACAGGCACTTCAGTGTTCCTTTTCAAGCTCCAGGTCTGATCCTTCTCTCTGTGCTGATGGTCCAGGTATGTCCTCTGATCCGGGAAATCCTCGAGCAGCTGGATGTGAAACTGTTGAAAAGCCTCATGGATGGGTGTCTGGTGCAGCCAGTGAGAACTCCTTAGGACTGGCAAGCGGCTGAAAGAGGTACCCCCGGCCCTGGAGCCCCCAGGGAGGCCTACTAAGGGGCGTGTCTGCATATGCTGTGAGAACACCTTAGAGGTGACCATATGATGGCCACACTGTCCCCCAAGAGAGCTAAGACAGCAGAAGGCACCCCTACCAAGCAGGCTGTGCCCTGTGGAGTCACCGAAGTCTTCAGGTTATCAGAGATTCTAGCTTCTCCCAAGATCTCCACCCAATCCAGTAGGGAGCACTGGCCCCACCACAAACCCGAGACCACCTCTACTCCAGTTACAGATAAACAGTTACAGTCCCTGCCCATATAGAGTTCATAGACTAGTGAAGTGAAGACACCGAGAAGCAAATAAATTCAGCATCATTTGGGGAGGGCTTTCACATGAATGCTCTGGCACCTGCCCTTGGTCACCATGGATGGATGGATAAGGGCTTGCCTTCAGTGCAGGAGTTGGGAGGTGGGCACGCTGGTGACAGATGCTACCTCTTCTCTTTACAGAACAGGAGGCTGCTCATGAACCAGCCCACCATGAATCCAGCCAACCCTCCGCATGCCAGGCTGGAGAGTCCCCCAGCTGAATACTGCTGGTCAGGAGAGTCCACATCTTGGGACCTCAAGTCTCCTTTAGAGTGGGGCTTCTGCTACCCTAAAGCCTTTATCCCAGGCCCTGTGAACATCCCATTCTTTCCCACAATAAACTCTAGCTCTGAAGGGTGCAGAGGTCCCTCCTGCCTGGGCCCTGAGTCCTAGGTCTAGAAGTCAGACCTGATGAAGTATTCTCCTGAGACCAAATATCCCTACAGTTGCTCGTCAGCCCAGAAATATCAGGGAAAAAGAACAAAACACTCTTGGCCTCTATTTTGCAGCCAGAAGCCCGTCTACGGCTTTGCTCTCGATGGAGGGAGGGGCCTGTTGAGATTTCTCATTCTCTCATTTATCCATTCCACATTTACTGAGCACCTAACATGTGTCAAGAATATTGCTGGGCTCCGAGGGGGTGTAGAGAAAGGGTGAGGGAGTGGAAAAGCAAAAACGTGGGCACCAAACACATCTGAGCTCACCTTCAATTCAGCCCAACCAGCAGTTCCACGAGGGGGTAAGTGCCACGCAGTATGGCGACCCATGAATCCCAGCCCCAGCACGCAGCTGGCACGGAGTGTGTGTTTAGTAAATATTTGTGGCCCAATGTATGGATGAATTCTAGTCTTAGGATTCACTAGCTGTGTTTGGGACAAAGCATGTCGCCTTTCGGTCTTCATCATTTGCAAAATGGGAATAGAAACCTTGTGAGATGTGGAGCAACAGGGGCCCTTCCACGCAGCTGCTGGGAGATTAATTCTACCACCACTTTAAAAAGCATCTCCTAAAGTTAAACATAGCCTTGCTTCACAGCTCAGCAATTCCACTACCTACCATATTCTCAGCAGGTTAGGGTTTTAGATCACTGTGTGTTCTACATTATATGTATGCCCTTATAAAGCTGTGCAACATGTTTCCTTGTGTAAGAAATCTTTAAACCACATGTGCTGGCAGGAACTGCTGATATTTACTTCCAAATCTTGATCTGGTTGCATTAGGTATTTCAACAGTGACCTTCAAAAGAATCAATTTTTAAGACTGTCTTTGAGATGCTTATTTGTATTATAAGTCATCACTGGCTTATACCTTATTATGACAAGTTTGAAACAGTTACCTTATTTCGTCCAATAAGAAAGCATGTCTTTTGATACCTAAGATTTTTGGACTTAATTTTAGAACATAAATCTCCGTAAAGTACAACATATTGTATTTTTTTAAAATTCCCCATTATTTGGAACTGACATACCAAAGTTGCATCAAGATATAAAGTTGAATGATGTAGGTAATTACGGCATAAAAGTCATTTTCATCTGAAGTATCCACATAATTGAAGCAAATGTGATTTCTCCTTGCGGGAATTATCTCAATTTTCCACTTCAGTTGGCTAGTGTAAAGGTAAAGAATATTAACATTTTATGTCCTCAAGCAACTAATACTTAAGAACAAACAATCTAGTAATGTTGATTTTCCATGGCCTTCTGTTGCATTGAAATTAATGCTACTTAAATGGTTAAATAAAAGTGTTGAACCCTTTTACTTGTTGACATTCAGAAAGCATCTTAAACTACTTCATTATGAAAGTTGAGAACTTAACATTTCACCATTTGTTCTCTTACACATTTTGTGTAATAAAAATCAGGTAAAAATATATTTTAAAAAAATACATGCATGTGTGTAGCAAAAGGCAAGGAAGCTCATAGCCGCATCGTTCATCAGAACCCCAAACTCAACATCCCCCCAGTGCCCATCAAAGAATGATAAATAGAATGGGAAGATACCTTGTGGGATGGACACCCACCGGAATCTCCATAGTGATGGAAATTACCTAAATTATACACAGCCAAATGGATGAATCTCATAAACAGAATGTTCCATGAAAGAAAAAGGGCACGTGTTGCATCTCCCATTTATGTGAGTTCAAAAAGAGCAAAACTAATTCGTGCTGCTAGAGATAAGATAGTGGTTACCTTGGGGCAAGGGTTAGATGCTAAGAGGGCATTGAAGGAGGCTTCTGGAGAGTTCATCGCATTCTGTGTCCTGATCTGGGTGCTGGTTATGGGATGAGATGTTTGGTTTCTAAAAGCTCATTGAGATATTTACACATGTGCATTTTTCTTATGTGTAATATATTTTAACAATTTTGACAATAAAAATATTGGCCGGTTGTGATAGCTCATGCCTGTAATCCCAACACTTTGAGAGGCTGAGGCTGGAGGATTGCTTGAGGCCAGGAGTTCGAGATCAGCTGAGACAACACATCAAGACCCTATGTCTATAAAAAGCTTGAAAAATTAGCTAGAGGTAGTGGCACACATCTGCAGTCCCAGCTACTTGGGAGGCTGAGGCAGGAAGATTGCTTGAGCCTAGGAGTTCAAGGTTACATTGAGCCGTGATTGTAGCACGGCACTCCAGCCTGAGCGACAGAGCAAGACCCTGTCTCTCCAGAAAGTACATGCATGTATTTACAATGCAGGATGCTTAAAGGAGTAAAGCCATGAAAAACCATTTGCAATATATTTCACATATGATGGGTTTATGAGAAATGCTGATTAAATGTAATTTAATCCAGCCAGGCACAGTGGTTCACACCTGTAATCTCAGCACTTTGGGAGGCCAAGGCAGGTGGATCATTTGAGCTCAGGAGTTTGAGACCAGACCGGCCAACATGGTGAAACCCTGTCTCTATTAACAACACAAAAATCAGCCAGGCATGGTGGCAGGTGCCTGTAATTCCAGCTACTCGGGAAGCTGAGGCAGGAGAAGCGCTTGAACCTGGGAGGCGGAGGTTCAGCGAGCCAAGGCCGTGCCACCACACTCCACTCTTTGCAACGGAGTGAAACTCTGTCTCAAAAAAATAAAAATAAAGATAAAATGTCATTTAATCCATTGTTAACCATTTGACTGTTGACTATTCAATGACTAAATATGGATTTCCACTCTCCTCCAACCAAGAATTGAGAAAGCATCCTGAGAAATCAAGGGGAAATAACACACACATATTAATCACAGTCACACACACGTTAAGCACTTGGTTTACACAGAGCTTCCTGGTGCTTGGAGCTTGGAGATGGCCACACTGACTGCACTCAGGCAGCCAGCTCTAGAGCTCACACACTCAGCCACCGTGAATCCTCCCTCCCGGTCTTCTCTTCCTTCCTTCCAACACCCCCCACCCCAACACACACACACACACACACACACACACACACACACGTGCGCACACACGGGGGAACTGATGAAATACGAGACAAGCTCAAATAAGGAAATGTCAACAGCTCAGAGATGAGAATAGGGCAGGAGAATCCCATGTCTCCATCTTTCAATTCAAGCTCCCTAATCCGAAATGCTTCACCGGGGATTTGCAACCCTAAACGCTAGCATTCCTCTTGCCAGCCTTGAGCTTGTGGGGTTCTTCCTGCTCATGATTCAAAGAGCAAACACAGGAGGGCCAGGCCTGGTCCCCAACAAGGCTGCCTGGTTCATGGGTGAAGGCGGCCTTTGTCTGCCTTCCTCCTGACCCCCCTGCGCTGGCGTGGGGCTTCCCGTAGGGACCTCCTTGTGTTTCTGGCATTCTGTTTTCATTTTAAGGTTCACGGAACATGGACTTCTTACATTTCCTTCCGGAAGGGCCTGTTGGACAATGGACTTCTATTAGGATACTGGGGTCCACACTAGGGGATGGTTTAAGGCCCAAATTCAGCCCCAAATGTTCAGAACCTCAGTCCAGGCTCTGCTTTTCTGTGCCTTATAACTTCCGTGCCCTCCCACTACTAGGCACTGACTCTGAGCCACATTGGGCTGGGAGCCACATGTGTTTCCCCAAATTGCAGCCCTCCCGCATCCCTAGGAGGTGGATGTCGTTAGCTCTGTGACATAAACAAGGAAACTGAGGCTCAGAGAGGGGGTGCAGCAAATCAGTCCTGGAGATCTGTCATACACATCATGCTTAGAGTTAACAGTGCTGTATTGTACACTTAAAACTTTGTTAAGGTCAGGCGCGGTGGCTCATGCCTGTAATCCCAGCACTCTGAGGAGTGGGGAGACTGAGGTGGGCAGATTGCCTAAGGTCAGGAGTTTGAGACCAGTCTGATCAACATGGTGAAACCCTGTCTCCACTAAAAATACTAATACAAAAATTAGTTGGGCGTGGTGACACACACCTATAATTCCAGTTACCCGGGAGGCTGAGGCATGAGAATCACCTGAGCCTGGGAGGCAGAAGTTGCATTGAGCTGAGATCATGCCACTGCACTCCAGCCTGGGAGACAGAGCAAGACTCTTTGTTGGAAGGAAGGAAGGAAGGAAGGAAGGAAGGAAGGAAGGAAGGAAGGAAAGAAGGGGGAGAGAGAAAGAAAGAAGGAGAGAAAGGGAAAGAAAGACTCTGTTAAAAAAAAAAAAAAAAACTCTGTGGATCTCATGTGAAGTGTTCTTACTACAATAAAAACTTTTTAAGGCTGTGCACAGTGGCTCACACCTATAATTCCAGCGCTTTGGGAGGCCAACACAGGTAGATCACTTGAGCCCAGGAGTTCAGGCCAGCCTAAGCAACACGGCAAACTCTCTACAGAAAACATGAAAATTAGTTGGGTGTGGTTGTGCACACCTATAGTCCCATCTACCCAGAAGGCTGAAGCGAAAGGATCACCTGAGCTCAGGAGATTGGGGCTGTAGTGAACTCTGATGGCGCCACCACACTCCAGCCTGGGCGACAGAGTGAGACTGTGTCAAAAGTGCTTCCCCCCCAAAAAAAAAGAGTTGGGAGGAAGCACTCTGCCAACAGGAGGCTCCAGGGAAGATGAGCAGGTGCTTGCAGAACTGAAAGCTGTGATGCCAACTTGCAATGAAGTGATACTGAAGCCCAGATGACAGTCTGACGTCACCTCTTCCCAGCTAAGGGGACCCTGGGCAGGCCACTGCCCTCCCTGAGCCTCAGTTTCCCCACAGGCTTGTTACAAGTGGGCATAAAGCTTTACTGTCTCACAAAAGGTTGTTTATCATTAGTAGTTGTTTTTGTTTTTGTTTTTGTTTTGCACCTCATACACAAATGCAAAGATTAATTGCAAAGGCAAGGGAAGCTTGCCTGAAGCAAACCGTACTTGAGAATATATATTTTTTTCATCTAACTTGGGGTTCCTAGCTCTCTAGGATCTCTCTGGAGCTTCCAAGGCCATCTGAAGACCCTCTCAAACTCAATCCCCACCCTGACCTTTCTCCTGGGAAGCAGATCCTGCATCTGATTCTCACATTCTGGAGAATACACCTTGCATAGGTCAGAGCCCTTTGAAAAATCACAATTCTGCCTTTTAGAAATGGATCTCTCTCTCTCTCTCTCTCTCTCTCTCTCTCTCTCTCTCTTTCTCTCTCTCTCTTTCTTTCTTTTTTCTTTTTTCTTTTTTCTTTTTTTTTGAGAGAAGGTCTTACTCTGTCACCCAGACTGGAGTGCAGTGGCACAATCTCGGCTCACTACAACCTCCACTTCCCAGGCTTAAGCAATTCTCCTGCCTCAGCCTCTCAAGTAGCTGAGATTACAGGTGCAAGCCACTACCACTGAGCTAATTATTGTATTTTTAGTAAAGACAGGTTTTCACCATGTTGGCCAGGCTGTTCTTGAACTCCTGACCTCAAATGATCCACCCGCCTTGGCCTCCTAAAGTGCTGGGATTCCAGACGTGAGCCGCTGCGCCTGGCCAGAAATGATCTCTTGATTGACAAAACAACCTGAGCACAGGCTCCCAAACACAGTTGCAACCTGAGAAGCCGGAAGGAAAGGAACCACCTAGAGTTTCTGAGAAACACGTGGAGAGGGCATTGACTTCACGAGTGTGGGAAAACATCTTAAATTGTTTGTGATGTGTCCTTCCACCTGTTACCAGGTGCCCTGAGACCCTTCCCCTCTTCAGGGCATGGAGCCTGCCGTCCCTGTGGCCTCAAGGAAAGGTGGTTTCCACAGAAGGAGAAAGGAGGCTCTTGAGTTTCAAGAGCTTGGGTTTTTGATAAAGTGGAAGTGACAGAGAACAAAACCAGGTGGTTGCCAGTGGGTGGGGGCAGGGTGTGACCGTAAGGGGACCCATGAGAGTGCTTTTTGGGAGGATGGAACTGTTCTGTACCCTGATTATGATGGTGGCTGACCATACCTGTGGTAAGACTCAAAGGACCATACCACTAAAAGAAGACATCAATTTTACTGTATGCAATTTTTTTTGTTGTTTTTATAATCTTGGCTTTTGACTTGTTAAACTCAGGGCATAGGAGAGTCTGAGAATAGCACACACATAATGTGTTGAAGCAAGGCTTCCTGCCCCCAAGACCAGAAAATGCACTATGTTGGGTTGGTGAAGTGTGAGGGTCCAGGAGAACCGGACGGAGCATAGTTCTGGTGGGTTCTGATGGTGTCTCAGGCCCTTGCTGCTCCCAGGAAGACCTGGCCATGGAAGGAGGGAAACAGAAGCCCAGGCACGTGTATGGGATCCAGGGACAGAGGATGTCCATGTTCACGCTCCCTCCCAGAGCCGGGAGAGAGGGATGAGACCCCAGGGAGAGAGGGGTCACAGGGGGGTGTAGGTGGATCCCAGCAGGTGGGCTTGGGCAGTCCCCCACAGTCCTGGGTCAGGCCCGAGGAACTGGTGAACAGCCGAATGATTCTGTGTCTTTTTTTTTTTTTTTTTTTTTTTTTTTTTTTTTTTTTTTTTTTTGAGACGGAGTTTCGCTCTTGTTACCCAGGCTGGAGTGCAATGGCGCGATCTCGGCTCACCGCAACCTCCGCCTCCTGGGTTCAGGCAATTCTCCTGCCTCAGCCTCCTAAGTAGCTGGGATTACAGGCACGCACCACCATGCCCAGCTATTTTTTTGTATTTTTAGTAGAGACGGGGTTTCACCATGTTGACCAAGATGGTCTTGATCTCTTGACCTTGTGATCCACCCACCTCGGCCTCCCAAAGTGCTGGGATTACAGGCTTGAGCCACCGCGCCCGGCGATTCTGTGTCTTACAAAGGAGTTGAAAGTAAATGCTAAATCCAAAGGGAACTTTCACCAGGAGGGAAGTATGGTGTCTCTGCCATCTAGGGGCAGATGGCACGTGGCTGTCAGTCAAAAACAGGAACAGGCAGCCTCCTTGGCACAAACGAAGCCCGTGGTGCAGACATGAAACCCCAGGGGCAAATGTGGACATTTCCATTACTGAGCAAAATGGCATTTGAAATGGTAAAGTACAGATAAATCAGAAAGCTGTGTGGATGCCCGAGTTTGTGAACTGTGAGGCAGATTTTATTCTCCCCGTTTTACAGGTGAGGAAACTGAAGTCCAGGGGACTGAAGTGACTTGCCCAGGGTTGGAGGATTTGAACCAGGGCTGTTTGAGCCCAAATTCACCTGCTTCCTGCTGCAATTCAGACACAGCCTCCCGATCTCAAACCAGAGGGTGTAAGCTTTCACTAACTGGCTGCACAAACTCAACTACTTCCTTGCCTTGTCTGCCTCAGTTTCCCCATAAGGATAGTAGCAACCTGACCCAACCCACAAGAGTTATACGATAGGACCACTGTGAGGATGACTGCCATGTGCAAGACATGGGCAGAGTCCCGCAAGGACCTTGAATGGATAACTAAGTTCAAAGCCACGGCCTCAAACCCTTGGAGGCACCACCCAGACTCTGGAGAGCAGTGGAGCAGGCTGGCAAAGGCCTAGTGTGAGGGAGGCAGTGTGGCCCGCTGATTACCAGGGACTCAGACAGACATGGAGGGCGGCGGGGTCAACTGACTCCAACACTCACTCATTGTGTGTCCCCAGGAAGCAGTCGCCCTTTCTGATCCTGAGTCTCCTCATCCAACATATGAGAGGCAACAATACCAATACTCCTGAAGAAGATGAGGTTTAAATATAGAGAGCACCTGGCATGCAGTCAGTGCTTAATAAATGCACATTTCTTCCTTCTCTCTCCACTTTTGCTTATAAGGTGTTAGGGCTTGCAGGGTAAGAGCTGCATTCACTGGTCCAGGACCTTGGCCCTCCTGGGTCTTCATTTTTTCATCTGCTAAACAGACTCCAAAGGCCCCAGTGGTGGGGATAAGTGCTGATGACTCCATTTAGGGAAGGGTAGAAGAAAGGGTAGGATAGAGATCAAGATGCCACAGGATCCCTCAGGCCTGGGAACCTGGAAAGACTTTTCCAGGATATAAAAAGCGAAGTGGCCAGGCGCAGTGGCTCATGCCTGCAATCCCAGCACTTTGGGAGGCCAAGGCAGGCAGATCACCTGAGGTCAGAAGTTCGAGACCAGCCTGGCCAACATGTTGAAACCCTGTCTCTACTAAAAATACAAAAACTTTGCCGGGCGTGGTCTCACTCACCTGTAGTTCCAGCTACTCAGGAGGTTGAGGCAAAAGAATCACTTGAACCCAGGAGGCGGAGGTTGTAGTGAGCAGAGATCACACCACTGCACTCCAGCCTGGGTGGCAGAGCAAGACTCCATCTCAAAAAAAAAAAATAAAAATAAAAATTAAATGTAAATTTAAAAAACAAAAAGGGAAGCATGAAAGCATGAAGTTCACAGGTGGGGAAATCAAAACTACTGGCAAGTGTGAAGGGGCACCTCCGCCTCTCAGCACAGTGACTCCGGGAAAGGACCTGAGTGTGGATGTCTCACCCCAGGCCGGCAGTGCATCTCTGGACAGCTCGCCTCGCACTCAGCCTCAGTGTCCCCCCTGTAGAACAGGAGTACTCATTCCCGCCTCACGCGGGGCGGGGAGGATTTTGTGAGATGCTGCATGTGAAAGCCATGGCAGGCCAGGTGTCCAGCAGGAGCTCGACAGGTGTGTGCTGTCAGCCTTGTTTCTGTTGTTTCTGTTCTCCAGTGAGCCAGTGCATTCTAACTCTGCTGCATCCTCTCTGGGTCTTTGGGCACTTGTCTCCCCTGGGTCTCAGTGTCCTCCTCTGTAAAAGAGGAGCAGTAACCTCTCCCTCCCGGGGTTCTCGTGAGGACGGAGAGCTCCTGACCTGCAGTAGGGGCTCTGGAACAGGAGACCCATGCCCTGGAATTGAGACACAGCCCAGATGTAGAATGCAGTGTGACTCTTTTGACACTTTAGGAGAAAGAATCCTCCCATTGGAACAAACAAACAAAAAAAGACCAGGAGAGGAAAGGGAACAAGAGATGAGACCGAGGTCCCTTCCTGGGCTTTGATTGGCTGCTCCTTTCAATGGTCCAAGCTACCTTGGGAGCGTGGGTCCCCAAGCTTGGCTCCACTCAGGAAACCATAAAGTCTTGAGTAACATCCCATCTCAGGTTTTTCTCTGTTTGTCTTGTCGACCAAATAGCTTAACTGTCCCGCCTGCTAATGTGATTGGCAATTATTTACTTTGGAGAGCCCTGAAAGACACCACCAGATTGCAGAATTCTCAATTATCTAGAAGCCCATCACCCAATTAATTACATGCTTCCTGGTCCCCACACTATAAAAGAGGCTGCCTTCTCAGCAGAAGTGAGTTGGGGAGAGAAAGGAGACCAGGACAGCTGCTGAGACCTCTAAGAAGTCCAGGTAAGATCCATCCATTCTTCGGCCCCTCTGCTATCCATAACGGCAGGGATCTCAGGCTCCTCCCTGTGGGGCAGGCAGACTGTACTCAAGATCACTCCCAGGGGGCTGTGCAAGACAAACAGACCCAGCCAATGTCAGGGATGTGGGGATGGCCATTCACTCTGCTGTCCTAAGAGACCAGTAACATTGATACAGAAATGAGCACTATTCATGCCCTAAATCAAACCCCTTAAGGTAAAATGTTTAACTTGGGGTTACCAATTTGGATACAGATGATCCAGAAACCTCCTAAAATTCTTCACCCAATTTTATACACTTTGATGCATTTTTCTGAGACTAGGATCTTCAGCTTCCATTGGATTCATAAAGGATCTGTTGTGCCAAAGAGATTCAGAGGCCCTGGTCAAAGTTACCTCCCTAAGACAGGCACGTTTGGCTCTTTGGACCAAAAGATCTTTCACTTCCAGCCTTCCACCACAAGGATGGAGCTTTAGCTGAGTCAGCCAATAGATGGAATTTTGCACAAAGCTATCAGTTGTCTCCAAAGTGTAGGGACTAGCACTGGCTCTGGACAACTTTGCTGGCTGCCAAATAGACCTGTGAGAGGTCTGCGGGCCCGACCTCAGGGATTGCCCAGAATTCCATCCAGGGCGGCTTTAAGGAGAAGAGAATGGTGTCAAAATGATGGAATGCATGCTTGTGTGTTGGGTAAGGGGAGGGTTGCAGGGAGACCTGCCTTCAACCACAGCTCTGCCATCAATTCATCATATGATCTTGGGAAAGTCACTAGCCCTCTCTGGTCCCCTGGTTCTTTACATGCAATGAAGACTTTGGATGGCCCCAGGAATTCCCCAACACAGGTCTGCATGAGATGGTGGCTGTGGCCATGCGACCCCTATGTTGTGTGACTTTCAAGGGCATCCACAAACCATCATGGCCTGAGCTCAGGCCAAAGGACTGAACAGAGATGATGCAAAACAGCTGAGCTCTTCAGCACTTGCATGTTTAACCCTTCTCACTTGCTTTGTCTGAAGAGCAGCAATGATCCAAGCCATTGAGCCAAGCCCAATTGGAGAATAAATCTGACGGTTACTTAATTCAACAGAGCGTTCATATGGCTCTAGCTTCTAATCCTCTCTCCACTGCATACTTGTGAACTTGGGAAAAGTTACCCACACTCAGTAGTACGTAAGTGGGTTTGAAGAGGGGATGGGAGTACATCTGAAACTTCCAACTGCAAATTCACTTGACATCTGTGAGCCTGGTTTCTCTTACCGGAAAATGAGACAAGTGGACTGTGGGCAAGACGGAGTGAGGTGAGACAGGGATTCTTGGCAAGGAGAAAAAAAACCCTCTTCCTTGGCATGTGGTGGAGCCAGATACCAGTGGGGCTGTCTCTTTTGTAGACCCCTGACCAGCGGTCCTCACCTGTGCAATGGAGGTAACAGGTGCCCATGTCTTAAGGTTGTGATGAAGATGAAATTGTGTAAAACAGCCTGTTTCCTGGCAAGGAGAAATTGTTCAGCAGTGTTAGATATGACTGGTCACCCCCTGGTGTTCTGGGGAGCAAACGAATGACAACCCCACCCCCCAGGTGGCAGGGGTAGTTGGTGGATAAATTCCTCTCTGATATCCATGCCATGTTGGACTTGTCATTTCTGTCCACAGATACCAAGAGCAAAGATGTTTCAAACTGGGGGCCTCCTTGTCTTCTACGGACTGTTAGCCCAGACCATGGCCCAGTTTAGAGGCCTGCCCATACCCCTGGACCAGGCCCTGCCCTTGAATGCAAATCCAGCCCTGCCCTTGAATGTTAATCCAGCCTTGCCCTTGAATGTTAATCCAGCCCTGCCCTTGAGTCCCACAGGTCTCGCAGGAATCTTGACAAATGGTGAGTCTGTGACAACCTCTTTCAAGTGTGTGTGTGTGTGTGTGTGTGTGTGTGTGTGTGTGTGTCCAACCCTGCAAAGGTGGGAGGGGCAGGGCTGGATAGGGGAGGGAGACTGAGGGTCTAGAATTGTCAGATCTGACCCCCAGAGACCCTTATGCCCATTTCCAGCCCTCAGCAATGGCCTGCTTTCTGGGGGCTTGTTGGGAATTCTGGAAAACCTTCCGCTCCTGGACATCCTGAAGACTGGAGGAGGCACTTCCGGCGGCCTCCTCGGGGGACTGCTTGGAAGAGTGATATCCGTGATCCCTGGCCTGAACATCATTGAGTGAGTTGTTCTAAAATAGAGCTTTGGTTTCTGCCGGGGAACCTGCCAGCCCCAGACAGTGGCCTCGAAGCAGTGAGGGGGTGGCCTGAAGCTGGAACCAAGGTTCGGTTCTGAGACCATCTCCAGTCTGGCAGGGACACAAGTACTCCCCAAACGAGCAATGCCCTCAGTTCTAGGCACGTCCTGAGGCCCCAGCATCTTCTATAATCCTCATGACAACCTTTTGAGGTCAATTCAATCATCTCCAGTTTGCAAATGGGAAAACAAGGCACAGAGATGTCTGTGTTCATACTGCTAGAGTGATGCCAGGTGAGTGAGGCTCTCACTCTACCTACCTAAGTCAAACCCAAGGCTCTTCCCACTACACTGTGGTCATATTTTTCTCCTCACCTGTGAAATCCCATAGAACACAGATGGCCTTTGATGTAAGCGAGAGTGTAACCTTTCCACCTTGATGATAACAGTGTGATGAGGAACAGTGTGATGTCCATGGAAAGGTCTAACATGGTGTTTCCCGGGAGACACCCAAGAGCTCTCAAAGCAAAAAGCAAGAATGGAAGCTTGAAGCCAGTGAGCTGGGAGAGCCTGGGTCCTGGATAGGACTGCATCAAAGCCATTTCCAAGATCCTACCCACCCAGGGTCTTGCTCCCTGACTTGGAGACAGATAAACAGACTTCTTGACTTTGGTTTCAAATGTACTTGTTGGATGACCTGGGACAAGACACTCTGTCTCTCTGTGCTTGGTTTCTCCATCTATAAAGTAGAGTTGATAGAACCCACAGAGAAGTCTACTGGGAGGACTGGAAAAGGTGTGAATCATGTGGCATAGTGGTTGGCTCAGTGAATGGCCTCACCCATCAAATAGCCTCCCTGCTTGATGGGTGAGGCCAGAGGGCTGGCTTCTCCTGGAGACAACAGAGTGTGATGATGAATGGATGGCTGAGAAGATAGGACAATGGGAGAATGACTTTCTCCCACGCTCTCTGCATTCTCCCTGACTTCCTGCTCCTCAACGCCCAGGAGAAAATTGGTGATCAGCCACCTGACAAGTTGGGTGATTCCTACCTGTAAATGTTTGCACAGATTCACTCCAGTGGCACCCACATCTTCTATTCATCCACTGACCAATGCATCTATCCAGTCATCCATCCTTCTACCTAATCACTTACTCTTCCATCCATCCACCCACATATCCACTTCCCACCTTCCCATTAATCCACAGCCAAATCATATGAAGAAGCCACTTTCTCTATAAGGCTCTGAGCTGGCATACAGGACATAAATATAATCCAGACATGGTTGCTGTCTTGAATAGCTCATAGACTGGAGATGAGAAAAGGGCCATGTGTGTGTCAGATCTGTTCCACGGAAGAAGTTGGAAAAGACTGGTGTGTGACTCAGAACCCATGTGGCTTGGGCCGCAAGACTCCCCTCCTGTCTCCCTATCCTGGGTGGGGAGCTCAACCTCTGGGATGGGTACTGTTGGATTAAAGATGGTTTCTGGGTTTGGAGCTAGAGGAGCTAATGTTTCCCCCTCCAATGTTACTCCCTGGACAGTGTAAAGGTCACTGACCCCCAGCTGCTGGAACTTGGCCTTGTGCAGAGCCCTGATGGCCACCGTCTCTATGTCACCATCCCTCTCGGCATCAAGCTCCAAGTGAATACGTGAGTGGGTCCCAAGAGGGGATGGGAGGATGGCTCACAAAGGAAGACCCTGGTGACCATGGGTAGCCATAAAGAGGGTATTGGAGTCTAACAGACCTGAGCCTCCAACTTCAGCTCGTTTGCTGTTATGCTGAATGACCTTGGGTCACTTGGGAAACTCAGTTGACCTCTTGAGCCTTTGTTTCTCCTGATAGAAAATGACATAAGTACAACTGTGGGCAAGATGGAGTGAGGTGAGGCTGGCATTCTTGGCAAGGAGAAAATAATATCCTTCCTTGGAATGTGGTGGAGCCAGATACCAGTGGGGCTGTCTCCTTTGCAGGCCCCTGGTCGGTACAAATCTGTTGAGGCTGGCTGTGAAGCTGAACATCACTGCAGAAATCTTAGCTGTGAGAGATAAGCAGGAGAGGATCCACCTGGTCCTTGGTGACTGCACCCATTCCCCTGGAAGCCTGCAAATCTCTCTGCTTGATGGGTGAGGCCAGAGGAGCAGCTTCTCCTGCCCAGAGATAACAGAGTGTGATGATGGAGGGATGGCTGGAAAGATGGGACAATGACAGAATAGATGAGTGAGATGCTGAAAGGGTGGAAGATGGATGGGAGGGAGGAAGGGTGAAAAGAATGGATGGATGGATGGATGGATGGATGGATGGATGGATGGATGAACTGACAGATGGTTAGATGGTTGAGTGGATGGAGAGAAGAATGAATAGATAGATAGATAGATAGATAGATAGATAGATAGATAGATAATAGATAGATAGATAGATAGATAGATAGATAGATAGATAGTCACTTATCCTATCCCTTCTTAGACCAAGCTAACTAATTTTATGCTAGATCTAGCAACAAGAAATTGGAGCTTAAACACTGCATATTATAGGGGAATGGGGGGATAGAGGGCTTCCTGTGTGAACCTGGGTAGTGCTTCTCCAATTTAGGTCTAAGCTTACTTAGCTGCAATATGGAACTGCATTGTGGTTGTTGATAGACTCTACCAAAATAATAGGTGTGAAAGTGCTTTTCCCAGTAAGGGGTACAACAGACATGGATCCTAACTAGATCACTTATTTCAGTTACTTATTACCTGTCACATGGGGAGACTGTGTCATAACTATTGCACAAAAGTTGCTCACGTGGTTAACTTTTAATGAACACATACATTAAGCTTCACATGTGTCATCTCATTGGATTCTCATGACAACTACATACTAAGTAGTATTCATTCATTTGTGGACTCTGCAAAGCCTTACTGACACCTGCTTTTTCTGAGAACCATGTGTTTATTCTACACAGACCTGTGTGTGCACTGCTGTACACAAACGTAACTCCCTTTCAATGGGACTCTTGCTGTCGGCCTGCACGCAGGCGTAGATGGACAAGGCTCGGCTTCAGTGACTGAATGTTGAGACTGTGGGGTTCACAGTGGCCTCTCTGGAGCCTTCTCTGCACCAATTCCAGGCCCATGACTTTTCTCTTTCAGACTTGGCCCCCTCCCCATCCAAAGTCTTCTGGACAGCCTCACAGGGATCTTGAATAAAGTCCTGCCTGAACTGGTTCAGGGAAAGGTAAGTGGGCAAGGTGGGCATCCTCTGATCCTTGGGTTTGAGAGCTCTCACACCAAAAGAAAGCCCGGGGCTGAATAGGTCTGAGTCCCTGGATTTGATAAGTAACTTCCATTCATCAATCTATTTGTCCATTGATCCATCTGCCCATGTTTCTTTTTACATCCTTTCAAATGCATTGATGAGTCTCTGCTCTAGGCAGGCCCTCCTATCCACACTGAAGCTGAAATGGATTGGCCCCTGTTCTGAGAGTTGAGAAGTTCCCTGTCCAGCCTTCTATGACCACAGGCAGTCTTCCAGCCTATACTTGGGTGTCTCCTATAACCAGAGCTCTCTGCTCTACTTAGAACCAGATGTGATGTCACAGAGGGAACACAGGGTTTGTTGTGTGATTTGGGGCCTTCATAACATCCCTCATGCCTCTGGTTTCTCCTTCTGCCTGATGTGCATGTGTGGCTATTGAGCTGTGGAACTGCTTAGAATCACTTTCACACAGAAAAAAGACAGGAAATTTCCCCCAGAGAACCCCCCGCTCTGGGGATTCAGCTGCTCCAGGGAATCGCTGTGCCTAACACTCCTCTCTGCCCGGCCAGGTGTGCCCTCTGGTCAATGAGGTTCTCAGTGGCTTGGACGTCACCCTGGTGCATGACATTGTCAGTAAGTACCTGCTTTCAATCCCTCTGTCCCCCAGGAGAGGAGCTGCAACTTCCCCAAAGGAGCATTTTCCCTGCACGCCCTGGGATACTAGGTCCCTCTGGCCTCAACTCTTTCCATTTTGGGTTACTTTTCCACCAGAATTATCCAGATAGTTTTGAGATAGATACCTTATCTCCTGCCTCAGCCTTGACACTGAGGACAGCTGGGCTGGTTGGTAGAAGGAGGCCTGGCTTCCTCCAAGTCTGCTGTACACACTCGGATCTCCAGAGGCCTCCATTCCCTGCCCCCCAACTCGAGGAATGTGGGGTCCTTCACGTTGAGATCATGACTCTTGTCTGTTTTCTTGTTTGTTTTTCTAGACATGCTGATCCACGGACTACAGTTTGTCATCAAAGTCTAAGCTTTCCAGGAAGGGCCTGGCCACTGCTGAGCTGGTGAGTGCCGCTTTCCACTCCCCAGGATTTTGGGGGCTGGCTGTTCTTCTCCTGGTAGAAGGCAGTGGGGGGCTTGGGACAATGACATCCAAAGGAAGAGACAAGCATCTACAGAGGCACACACAGCGCTGCACAGAGAAACCCACAGAAAAGCTGGCAGAGGTGGAAGGAGGCAGGCAGTACAGCAACACAGCTGCCAAGAGAAACACACACGCAACCGCCCTGACACACGGCCACTGATAGATATGCATGCACTCTCACGCCAGCACACTCACACACAGGCACACAGCAGCGGACTCACCACACACAAGTACACGTGGGTACACAGACACACGCTCGCTCACACACATGCACACGGAGCCCTGATCCTAGGCCTGATCCCTTGTCCAGGGTCTCGGCCTCCTCCTGTGCCTTTGGGGCATGAGTTTGATGATGAGCCAATACCGGTAACACTCACTGACCTTGAGTTTCCATCTTAATTGCAGTCTTCCCCAACAGAATCATTTCTTGCTGCTCAGTCCATTCCCTCTGCCTAGCTCCCCAGGACTCACAGATGACTGGCCCATGAGCTGGAAGATAATACAGTGTCCTTCTCTCCGAGGAACCTGCCCCCACTCCTTTCCTACCAGGTGTGTGTAACATCCCACGTGCCTCACCTAATAAAATGGCTCTTCTTCTGCATCGGGGGCCTTGTCATCCTTTATCATCATTTGAGGGCTCCTGAGTTGGAAAGAGCCTGGCCTGGGTGGTTGGTACCATAGCACAGAGTTCATCTTCTACTTTACAGATCTGACTAGTCTTGATCAGGTCAGGGAGATGTTCGAGTGTGTGTGGATGTCAGAAGGCTGGCCCAGGTGGCCTTAGGAAGAGGGGATGAGGAGTTCAGGGTAGATGTAACACTCCAGGTACAGTTAATGACACACGAGCTTGCCACGCCAGGAGTGGAAATGGCAGATTTGTATCAGGGAAATGCAAACTAAAACTGCAGTGAAAGCCAGGTGCAGTGACTCACATCTGTAATCCCAGCGCTTTGGGAGGCCAAAGCAGGTGGGTCACTTAAGGCCAGGAGTTCGAGACCAGCCTGACTGACATAACAAAACCCCATCTCTACTACAAATACAAAAATTAGCTGGGTGTGGTGGCGTGTGCCTGTGGCCCCAGATACTCAGGAGGCTAAGGTGTGAGGATTGTTTGAGCCCAGGAGGCAGAGGTTGCAGTGAGCCAAGATCGCACGACTGTACTCCAGCCTGGGTGACAAAGTGAGACCCTGTCAAAAAATGAATTAATTTTTTTAAAAGCACAATGAGATACCATCTCATACCAGTCAGAACAGCTATTATAAAAAGGTCAAAAAATAGCAGATGCCAACGAGGTTGCAGGAAAAAGGAATGATTATACACTGCTAGTGGGAATGTGAATTAGCTCAGCCACTGTGGAAAGCAGTCAGATTTCTTAAAGAACTTAAACAGAGCTACCATTCGACCTGGCAATCTCACTGCTGGGTGTGCACCCAAAGGAATATAAATCATTCTACCATAAGACACACGCACGTTCACTGCAGCACTATTCACAATAGCAAAGACACAGAATCAACCTAGATGCCCGTCAATGGTGGACTGGATAAAGAAAATACGGTACCTATACTCCATAGAATACCACACAGCTATTAAAAATGAGATCGTGGCCTTTGCAGCAGCGTGGATGCAGCTGGAGGCCATTATTCTAAGTGAATCAACGCAGGAACAGAAAACCAAGTATCCCGTGTTCTCCCTTACAAGTGGGAGCTAAACATTAAGTACACATGGACACGAAGAAGGAAATAATACACACTGGACCTATCTGAGGGTAGAAGGTGGGAGGAGAGTAAGGATTGAAAACTACCTATGGGATACTGTGCTGATTACCTGGATCACACAATTATCTGTACAACACACAGTTTGCCCATATAACATACACGCCTTGGACCTAAAAGAAAAGTTGGAAAGAGAAGAAGAAAATGGCAGATTTGAGAGATGTTGAGGAGGTGGATCTGGAAGGGTGTGAGTGAGGGTGTGGGTGAGGTGTGTGTCCAGGTGTCAGGCTGAGGAGCCAAGGGTACCTGGGAATCTCGGAACCGATTCCAGCAGGCAAAGTATGCCCATAGCCGCGGATACTCCGTGCGGACATGCCTGGACACCCAGAGAAGCCATCCAGGAAGCCGACGGTACACGCCACCTATACTATCTTTTGCTTCCTTGGATGAAGTCATACTGACCTCTTTCCAGTTCTCTAAGTAAGAGGAAGACAAAAAAAAAAAATGACAAGGACGAAATGAAAAGGACAGACTGGTGCCAAGTGCTCAGTGCTGAGCGTTTGAGAAGGGTAAGCATAGAGAAGCGGTCACTGGAGTTGTCGGTAAGCAGAAGATTCTTGATGTCCTGGGTGGATGTGACATTGTTGGAGGAAGAAGCCCGAGTTTAAGGAATGGGGGAGAGGAGGGGAGGTAAGGAAGTTGAGTCTGTGTATGCAGATAAGATTTATGAGGCCAGGCGCAGTGGCTCATGCCTGTAATCTCAGCACTTTGGGAAGCCAAAGAGGGTAAATCGCTTGAGCTCAGGAGTTTGAGATCAGCCTGGGGAACATAGGGAGATTCCATCTCTACAAAAGAAATAATAATAATAGAAAAATTAGCCAGGCATGGTGACATGTGACCGTAGTCCCAACTACTTGAGGGGCCGAGGCAGGAGAATTGCCTGCACCCTGGAGGTCGAGGCTGCAGTGAGCCATGTTCACGCCACTGCACTCCAGCCTGGGTGACAAAGCAAGACCCTGTCCACCCCCAAAAAGAAGAAGAAAAGAAAAGATTTATGAAATACTGGCTGTGAGAAGGAAAAGGAATGGGGCTACCTAGGCTGAAGAACATTGACCCACAAATAAAAAATACCTATGCTCTCATTGCTGGGTTTTTAGGGACTAGTCCAAACCTTTCATAACACAGATGAGATACTGAGGCCTTGGGGTTCTGTGAATGACTTGCCCAAGGCCACAGGGAGACCAAAGTTCCAATCAAAGACTGGAAACACCCCAGACTTTAGAGAAAACCTTGTCCGTTGCTCTTTGGGAGGCCTTGACCTTGTGAGAATGAGCAGATTCAAGTTCTTGTTTCTCAAAGCTTTCTGATTCTAAGGGTAATAAACCAGGGACCTACCCATTCCCCAACCCCTGCCAAACATCCCTCATCAAGTCCAGACCTGCCACTATCTCTACCTACTGTTGCCACCAATCAACATGGTATCATAGAAGGACAGTACCATAGCTCAGATTTCAAGATTTATTGTGTGACACTATCATGTGTCTTCAGGGAGAATTTAAGAAAGGAAGCAGGGCCCAGCGCAGTGGCCCACGCCTGTAATCCCAGCACTTTGGGAGGCTGAGGCAGGTGGATCACGAGGTCAAGAGATCAAAACCATCCTGACCAACACGGTGAAACCCCATTTCTACTAAAAATACAAAAATTAACCAGGCATGGTGACACACACCTGTAGTCCCAGCTACTTGGGAGGCTGAGGCAGGAAAATCACTTGAACCCAGGAGGCGGAGGTTGCAGTGAGCCAAGTTTGCACCACTGCACTCCAGCCTGGGCAACAGCAAGACTCCATCTCAAAAAAAAAAAAAAAAAAGGAAAAAAAAAAGAAAGGAAGGATATTCCACACCCACAAAAGATCTCTGAGCTCAGATGAGCAATTAAATCCCAGCAAGCAGCTGAAGGAGTGCTGAGAATGTCCACCTAGGTGCTGAATGGAAGTGCAGGACCTTTTGAATAGGAAGCCAGCAACTGGGGCCTGCTTGTGCTGGAGAGGCTCCAGGAATCAGCTACCTGCAGGTCCCCTCTGGGCAGGCACTGGGTCAGCACTGAGAGTCGTCTGTGGCTGAGGCCCCAAGAACTGAGGTGGATGAGCACAGGGACACACACCTAGGACCATCTGCGCTGGGCCTGGTGCCCTCTGGCCGTGGTACTGAACTGTGTTCCCGCCTCACACCCATCCCCTGGCCATCTCTGGATACAATTTTCCCCTGCTCCCCTGGACTTCTTCCTGTAGCCCACAGAAGGGTCCTCCCCTACCTGACAAGTTCAATTTCTAACTAGCTAGTCTAGAATTCCCCTGGCTACAAGACACCCTGCCAGGTAGCCAGGCTAGCCAAAACACAGTTATGCCATTTAAAGAATGAAAACACACTTTAAAAACTCTCTGGGGCCAAGCACCATGGCTCACGCCTGTGGTCCCAGCACTTTGGGAGGCCGAGGCAGGTGGATCACGAGGTTAGGAGATCGAGACCATCCTGGTCAACATGGTGAAACCCCGTCTCTACTAAAAATACAAAAATTAGCTGGGCATGGTGGTGCACGCCTGTAGTCCCAGCTGCTCGGGAGGCTGAGGCAGGAGAATCGCTTGAACCTGGGAGGAGGAGGTTACAGTGAGCCAAGATCGCACCACTGCACTCCAGCCTGGCGACAGAGCGAGACTTCACCTCAAAAAAACCCAAAATAAAACCAAAACAAACAAAAAAAACCTCTCTGGAATTATGTCAGTGAACGTGACAAAAGAAATGTCTTTGAAAATTTTTTCCTACATAAAAGCAATGAGAAAACTGACAGAAATGGTTTTAACTAACATTTTTAGAGCTCTGGAAATTAACCAAAGCTTGCAGCAATCTGGGGAGAGTTTATTCAATATAAATTACGGAATATCAGCAAGAGCAGAGAGTTTTGTAGCATTTTAACTTCTAGTCCCATCTCCCCACACCCCAGCTCCACAGCCAACTTGAAAATGAAAGCCCACAATCTTGGTGAATACCACCAGCCCAATAGCCACTGGAGAGGTGAGGAGGGAGTTAGAGTGACTCATTCGCAGATAATTGTCATTGTTTGATCTGCTCATTGTTTTCCCGGGAAGACCCACTCTCACGGTGGTCATTACTTGACCTGACACAGAGCAGCCTTTTTCCCCAAATACATTTGTCAAAAAACAGTCGGAAGCAACTATTTAACATCAGAGCTGCCTGAGGGGGTGTAACATTTGGGACAAACCGAAGACTAACACAAAAGCTAACAAGGAAAAGCTGGAGAATAAGATATCTGTGAGCTTTGAAAATCTCCAACATAGTCCTAGGACTCCGGGAGCCCATGTGCTTACAGGGAGCTGTGTTTAGGTAAGCAGTAAAGACAAAGGCAGAATCGTGTTAAATAAAAATTAGAAAAGCCCACTGTTTTGAGCTGAGCTCCTGCGCTAGGCCCAGCAGACCAGACCAAACCAGGATGGAGCCACTCATGCTTGGCATCGTGTAATCAAACTGAACTTTAAAAGCAGGCCAGTTTTCCAACCAATCAGAAAGGGCCCAGTCTACCTGAGCCAGCAGGGTAAGGAAGTTCCCTCTTCTTTAATCCTATAAGGAAAGTAACTTTGAGATGATCAATCTACTTTTTTGCTGTTGTTGTTCCCTGCTTCTGCTTCTTTTATACCTATAAAGCCCATCTCTGCTCAGCTCACAGGAGCCTTTCTAAATCTTTAGATGGGATGCTGCCCGATTTGCTAATCTCTAAGAAAAGCCCATTAGAACATATGCCGATGTTTGAAGTGAGCTTTGTGCTCGGGATATTCGGCACCTGTGGATCTGAACCTGCACTGAGGGTGTCACCCTCCCA